GGAGTAATTTCTGAGTGCAGAACCAGGAATAACCCCTGAGCATCACTGGGTGTGACCCAAAGAGCACCCCCTTTCCCCCAAAAGAGAAAAAAGCAAAAAGAAATTTTCATGGTTCTTGGTCTTTCCTCTGGGCACATTTTCAGCTACTGCATAGATTTTAGGTATTAAGCTAACTCATGTGAAAATGAATCTTACCATATCAAAACATGAAATATGTCCAAAATTTATGATCCCAATACGTACTTACCTATCTTCCTATTGTTCAGACGTTAAGCAGCAAGATACTCTTGGAATACCAATTTAAAGTCTCCAATTCTAACAAAATGTCTGCTTTTATTTTTTCTTCACCTTGCACACACACGTCGACCATTATACAAAGACAATGCACACAGTTACTCACTCATCTGCAGACTCTCCCTATTGGTCACGCCTGGAAGCATGCTGAGACACTGGGAATAAAACAGCAACCTGAGAGGCTGCGCCCGGGAGTTTGCTGTTGGCTTGTGTTTGTGGGCGTACAGCGCACTGCAGGAAGGCTGAGTGGCTGGTGAAAGGGGAAGAGGCAGAGGAGAGAGAATTGAGATGGCCACAGGCCAGGGCTCTTTCTCATCCGATGAATTCACCGGGTGTTGACAATGACATCAAGGGCGGAGGGAACAGGCTCTGTGGGCATCCTGAGAAGCCCGGAAGTTCTGGTGCTCCAGAAAGGGCCAAGCAGGGGTGAGGGTGGCGGGTGGGGGAGTGGAGGTGGTGAGGGTAGACAATAGTGTGGAGGGAAGGGGTGGGGACTGACAAGAAGCTTGAATAGCCTCAGAAACGGGGGGTGGTGGGGGGCTCAGTGACACTCCTCCACTCCCACAGCTCTCTGGGCTGAAACCCACGGCATCAAGGTGTGGGCAGGGTTGGTCCTTGGAGCAGGAGATGCCCCGTTCCAGAGTCTCTGGAGTACAAAACCATGCTCTGAGCTGCAGAGGGTTTTCCGCGGTGGCTGGTCTCCCGGGTTCCAAGGCTGCCCCCTCTGGAGGTGATGTCACAAGAGCTGGAGTGAATGCGACTCAGAGCAGAAGGCTGGACCCCACGGCAAGGAGATGCTTCACTGAAGGGGGACCAAAGACGCGCTTCAGAGTGAGAGCACGCGCAAGGGACCCTCATCTGCTTAGAAAGCGCAAGCGGGGCAAAGGCTGCTGAGACCAGTTTCGCAGGAGCAGTGGATACCCAGTCCTGAAGGCACACACCTGGGTGGTGGGAGCGACACCTTTGAGTCCTTCACGAGTGTGCTTTGCTCTGGGGTCGCCACGCCTCACCTTGGGCGAGTCCCTTTTTCACACTCGAGTCTCCCCTCTCCTGTTCCCTCACGACATTCTGCTTTGCTAGCTTCTGGAATTCTTTCCCTGGAGTACAGGTGATGGGGAGAGGTCCGGGTGGCCATGGGGGCTAGTGAATGTGGCCTGCAGTGGCCGCAGGCCTGGAGAAGGCCGGAGCTGTCGGGCCTCCCGCCTCCCCATGCACCCCTCAACTTGTTTTTTGTTTTTTTAAATTTCTAGTCCCTGTAAGGAGGATTTTATTTTTTAATTGAATCCCCATGAGATAGTTACAAGGCTTTCATGACGCTCATCAGTGTTGCGGCCTGATCTGCCCCATTCCCCAGTCCAACTCTGGGCTATGCAGTCTCTGGCATTCTGGGGTTCGGAGTATCGCCCCCCCCTTTAATCTTTTTTGTTGTTGATTGGGGTTTTGTGCTTGGCAACACTGTTAGTGACAGTTTCCCATACACATCACTCCAACACCTGGGTCCCCACCTCCGTCAAGGACCCCAAGGTCCCTTCCCAGTCCTCCTTCATCCCACTAACTCAACTGTGTGTCCCTCTGGGACAGGGCCATCACTGTGGGAGACTCGACCCTGGCTGACCCCATTCAGGTGGGATGAAGCCCAAGGATGCCCCCCCCCCCCAGCTGATTAACTGCTCACAGTCCATTTGCACACAAGGTCTTGGGCCTTGGGGATTAGGATTTCAACACAGAGACTCTTTAAAACGCTAATGTTTCTACGATCACAATCGACTAATAACCAAAACACAAACATGCTTTGGGCAGGACTGGTCTCAGCTGACCATCGTTTTGCTTTTCACGCAGAACTGCTCAGATCACAGGCAACCGGAAAAGATAAACAGCAGGAATCACAATTACAGGTACAAATGTCTTCAATGTATTTATTTTAGAAAACAAAGGTTTAACAACTGGTGCCACGAGGCAGGATCTCATGAATTCAACACGTTAGCAATGCAGTCTCTCAAAAGCCTTTTTTTTTTACCAACTGGTCCAAAGTAGAAAATTGATTCTTGCTCACCCTTGGACTCAGACACATTCAGAAAAAAATAGATATTTATAAAAATAAAATGGCAAACCTATTTCCACTGACTGATAGTCATCACCAGACTCTGCTGTACTCAAGCAATTTCCGCATAATAGAACGGTGAGTGATCTTTTCCCCTGCCTTACTTCCATTTCGTATGAAGCGATGATAAAAATATCGATTTTGCAAAACCCAACACAAAATGGCCCCTGAAACAAAACACAGGAAATACCAGCAACTACATAACAATGTAGCTCATTAACAGTGAGACCCTTCAAGCACTATTAATTTGGCTCTTCATTTTGCTTCTGAGTCAGATACCTTATTGTGGATGAGGAAGAAAACAGAATTACTGCCCTAACAGAGCTCACCCACCCAGTTTCCGATAGCAGTAGCTGGAAGAATATTAATACGTACTATGTGATCAATCAGACGGACTACTTGCTCTAATGCTACATAGCTTGACTGAAATATTCATGTTCTCCATTTCAAATATCCTTAAATAATGTCTGAGCACCAGATTCAGCAATAGCAGACATCTAAGATTTTCAATTTTGGAAGCTGAAAAATAGGACTCTATTGCAACCAAGAGGCAGCAAAATCCAGACTGAATGGTATTTTCCTATTCGTGAAAGATTCATCACAGGATCAGAACGGCAGGGCTTAGCCCTTCTAAAGGGATCTTTCTCTCAATTCATTAATAAATCTACTTTCATTCGGAAAGTGTTCCTGAAAGGAAAAATACCTGTTCTACAAGTTCTGCTATCACGTCCAAGGGAAAAGCAAATGCACACGGGGGAACCAAAGTTTTAGGTGGTTTTGTGAGAAATGTGACAGTGTCGTTAAGTAGAAACAAGTAAAAAGCAAAATTCTCATACAAAAAGTCAGAAATAAATATACTCACTTACACACCACCGACACATTCCATTTTCCAAGTAGCCACTCTGCAAAGAGAGAACGGGTGACCACGACCACACGGGGTGAACGGGAGGTTTCTGAGGACATTTCGTTTTCAGAAAAAGCTAGGAACAGAAAACTCAGGCTTGACCTAGAGACACGAAAACCCCAGAGCACAGAAAAAGGAAGGTCGGACGTTCCCTACGGATGGACGGACGCACGTGGGGAGTTTCTCTTCCTTCCGACTCGGGTCTCTCGCTGACACGTGATACTCCACAAGACACAAAGACATGCAGACGGCGAGCATCTGAGGGGGGACGGGGACGGAGACGCAGGGACATTTGCCACCGGCCCCGACGCTGCAGGGGCAGAGCCACGAGATGCCGCTCTGGCCACTGGAAACATGACTGGCTCATCTTCCCGACTTGCTGGGGATGCTCCGGGAAGAATCTACTTCGAGTTGACTACCGTCGGCCTCCAACTTCCACGGCAGAACGGCCCAGTCCAGTCTAACATCTCCTGAAAGTCCAGTGTTGCTGATGTGCCTCACGGATGCCAACAGGGCACCCACCGAGGTGTCCGGCCCAGTGCCCCAGTTCTGGCAGTGGCCGCAGAAGCCATTCGGCTGCCAGGGGAACCGGGTACCAAGTGCTTCGACAGTCCAAACGGCCAAAGAGACATTTCAAGTGGACAACTCAACGGGGCTGGGAATCACCGGGACCAGGCCCGACACTTGGCTGAAGGGATGAAGACCTCAGGGTGAACTAGGCTACGACGGGCACACCGGATTGGTACTGAGGACGCTGGGTGGCATCACATCGGTGCGGGAAGCAGGGAGGGTTCTCGGGGAGGAGAGGGCGATGGGGGGAGAGGCCGGGCAGGGGGCTGACTGCCGCTCACTCACTCTGAGCAGGGCCAATGCAGGGCCTCCAGGACAGACGTGACACGGGTGTGTGTGAGTGTATAGATATGCACGGACACACGCCCGCGTGCGCCCACCGGATTGGAAGCGACCCTACCACGAGCACAGAAACGTGACACATATTACTCTTGACAAAGCGGCAGGAGCTTCTTCAGCCAAGGAATCGCGCAGCAGAAACCCAGCTGAGAGGGAGCAGGGAACAGCAGGGTCTTGCCTGTCAGTCCCCCGGGGGGCCAGCGATGGCTGTCGGTCACCGGCACCCGGGGCCGGCCTTCCTACCCCTTAAGTCCCAACGGCAAAACTCGGGGCTGGGGCTGCCCACTCACTTCAGCCCTGGGGAAAACGTGAGGATCGTGGCTAAGCGTGAAATCGAACAAACCACAGCTCAGCATCTTTGAAACTCAGTTAACACAATCCAATCGCTAGACTATAGAAAAACCTTTTGGGGGGGGTGGGGAATAAAACAATTCTCATCATCTTAAAATCTGTTCTGTGGGAAAAAGACATTATTTCTCCTTAAAGTGCCTCAATTTGAAAAGACTTCATTCTTTCCTGTCTGTCGGGACGGGCGAGGGGGATGGATGTAGCGGGGGAGGGGGTGATGGGGGGGGGGGGATTCGGTGCCTCTCCCCGACGGGCCGGCGGACGCGTCCCTCAGCCCCAGAACGTCCCCACGGAGACATGCAAACACGACGGGAGCCGGGGACGTCCGGCAGGTCGCCGAGGGCCATCCCCGGGATCTGCGGACAGGTCTACTCGAATCCATGCAGTGACACCGGCACAGCGCGCGCGTGCGTGGGTGGGCGGGCTCTGGGCTCTCGGGGTGCCGGGGCCCACGCTCAGTCGGTCTTCTTCTCCAGCTCGCCCTTGGGCTCGGGTTCGGGCTCGGCGGGCATGGGCGGGTGCCCGTTGCGCACCTCGTGCTCCCGCGGGAGCTCATCGGGCAGCTCGGCGCCCTCGGGGTCCCCGTCGCCCTTGGACAGCTCATAGCGCTCCTCGATGTAGCTGCTCTCGGCGTCGGCGCTGTAGATCCCATAGCACATGATGCTGATGACGCCCAGCGGCAGGCCGAACAGGAAGCAGCCCATGAGCGGGGAGCTCCGGAAGATGGACTGCGGGAGACAAGCAGGGGTGAGTGGGCGAGGGGCGGGAACACCACCCCACCCCTGGCAGCCCCCTGCGACCCCCCACGACCCGCTGTCAGTGCCCGAGGCTTCAGGCCAAGTTTACGGCGGCAGCTTCCCAGCCCACCGCAAATGCGGAGCCGGTGGTGGTGGTGGTGGCCACGGGAAATGAGGAGTGGGCACCACACAGCTCCCATGCCATCCGGCCGCTGGCTAAGGACATGGGACTCGTCCGGAGCGTGGACCCTCGGCTGCATTTCTGGCACCGATGCCTCAGTTTATCCAGCCTCCCGGGAAAGCAGAGCGACTTTCCAGAATGCACCCGTCACCGAGCAGAGGGGCCAAGAGAGACAAAAGCGGAGGGCCACAAGGCCACGGAGGACAGAGGCACGGGCCAGGGCTCTGGGGGGCGCGGCTGCACCCCAGGAAGGAAGGACAAGGCAGCACCCGGGAAGCCGCACGCTCTCTCCGTGTGGGGAGAAGGCAGAGGCTCTAGGATGCGCCCTGCTACCCAGTGGCAGAACGAGGGCCAGCTCGGAGTGCTGGAGGCAGGGCGGCAGGCGGGGCAGACACCCCTGTAGCCAGCAGGCCAGGGCGACTGTGACCAAGCTCCACAGCGGGCGCGTCAGGGTCGCAATTAAGCTGGGGCAAAGAGGACTGGAGGAGGCGGGAAGGAATGGAAGCTGTATTTCTTCCAGTGCAAAAAACGTAGCTTGGGGCTGGAGCGACAGTACAGCCGGTAGGGCGTTTGCCTTGCAAGCGGCCGACCCGGGTTCGATTCCCTGCATCCCATGTGGCCCCCAGAGCACCTCCAGGAGTGATTCCTGAGTGCAGAGCCAGGAGGAACCCCTGAGCATCTCCGGGTGTGACCCAAAAAAGAAAAAAAAAAAAGTGGGCTTTCCTGTGACGATGGCTTTCGTCAACAGGGACTCAACCCCCCACAGGTGCAGCGAGGGAGACCATGAGGGCGAGGGGTGGGTCTGACGGCCCAGGACCCCCTGCACAGTGAGCAGCACGGGTACAGGGAGCGGCGGCCCAGGGTCCTCACCGAGAACCAGCAACAGGAAAGACACTTGAGATCCTGTCACATCACTGGGTCAATAAATCCCAAATTCCAGTGGCCTCGTCATGCAGAAACGAATAAGCTTAACTTCCAACTAATGAATGTATTTTCCCAGCCGAAATACATATATATATAAATCAGACCTAGTGTTGGCCTAACGCCTTTTAGAGGGGAGCTTTCACCTGACTCCTAAGAGACTACTGAAATACTTGCTCCCGGCAATCAGTGTAACTTACCACCACGGTAGTTTTGGCATCGAACAGTATCCTCTTCAATCTGTGAAAAATGCTATCGCCTCCTTGAGCCTGCAAGTGGACGAGGGAAAAAGAATGTCAGTGAACTGAGACGGCTTCGTTTCCCCGTGTTCCATACGCCCCTCCAGCGGCAGGCGCAGAAAGCCCCAGAAAGAGGCCTGGGCCGAGGGGGACTTTCCTCTCTCCTTGTCCCCTGCCCACTGTATTCCCCGGCCCCTCCTGCCTGTCCAGTCCAAGTGGCTTGGGCACAGAAGACCCGCATGAACACAGCGGCCTCGCAGCACTGGAGAAGCAGCTCCCGCCGCTACGGTCAGCAGTTCCCCCGACTCACGGTCACTGCAAATGGGCTTCCGGGAACCCTCCAAGGGACCGCGCCCCACGATGGCCTGACTCCGCAGCCAGGGCAGTCTCCGGCCAGAGGTGCCAATGGCCCCACGCCTCTCCACTCCTCCCGCCACCCCTCTGCAGTGCGAGTGATGCTCTTACTTCCACTCGGCCATCCAGAATGCTGTGGATGAACTGGACCATGTCCTCGGCATTTTTGATCTGCCGATCCAGCAGGAAGTACTGCTGATTCGAAGTGTTCAGCACAACGACGGTGGGGACTGACAACTCACTGCAGGCAGAGAAATAAATACATACATTAATATACAAACAAATAGCCTGGTATCTACTTATGTTTTCTGGTGACTAGAACGAGAACAGAGACCTGGCTTCCTCCTAAGGTTAAGGCTTCTCATTTACGAAGCAAACAGAGAGAGGAGAAGAATCTTTTTTCTAATCAAACGAAGAAATTCAACTGAGAACTTTGATCCATCCACCTCTGGCTCAGTTGAATATTACTATCCTGGACCAAACAGCTGTTTATTGGACCCAGACGCTCTGTACTCCTGGCCATACTATTTCACTGCACTAAGACACCGATGTGCCTTGAGAGACAGTATGAGAAACGGTTCTATCCACCCACGTTCCCAACAACAGGTGAGGGGATGGATAAAGAAACTGAGGCGTGCACCCACGGCGGACTTCTACGGGGCTCTGACCCAAGATGGAGATGTGACGAGGCTGCAGTTTGCTGCTGCGGCTTCCGTGGAAGCAGGGGAGGTCACAGTACAGCGAGTCAGAGAGAGAAAGACAAGCAGCTGGAACTGCACCCCTGCACGGGGTGTCGGGAAGCAATCCCGAAATCTGGTCAATCGAGTCTGAGCTTGAGGGGGTGTGGTTGGGGTGGCGACCTGGGTAACAGTGGAGGAGTCCTACATTATGGGAGGGCAGGGACAACAGCGTCACAAGCAGCCAGGAAAAGGCAGCGGTAAAATATAGACAAATAAGAAACTACAAAACAGGTTTTGGGGCTGGAGCGATAGCACAGCGGGGACAGCGTTTGCCTTGCACGGGGCTGACCTGGGTTTGATCCCCGGCATCCCATATGGTCTCCCAAGCACTGCCCAGGAGTAATTCCTCAGTGCAGAGCCAGGAATAATCCCTGGGCATCACAAGGTGTTAACCAAAAAGCCAAAAAAAAAAAAAAAAAAAAAAAAAAAGAATGCATGGATTAAAGTCCTTATTCCAGACACTGCAAATCCTACTGAATACATGGTTCTACTGAATACACGAATCTTTCTTTAGAAAACAATGGCACCTTAAGAGGTGTTTATTATTTTTTTTTAGGTTTCTGCAAGGTTAATCACATTCCTGTTAAGAAATAGAAAATTTCTGTGCAAATACTGATTTCCTTTCAGTATTTAAAAATTTAGTGCCAAACTTTTCAATGTCCTTGATTACTTCAATGGCTCCTTTATTTTTATTCTCCTTTGTCTTGCTTTGTTCAATACACCTGGTATTTGATCTGTTTGTGAAAGCCCTCACATAGCTTCTGGAACAAGTGAGGTACTCTATCACTGTCACTGTCCTCCCGTTGTTCATTGCTTTACTTGAGCGGGCCCAATAATGTCTCTATTTGAACCAAAAATGAACCTAAGTGCACCTGAGCCACAGGGCAGCAGGGAGAGCGCTTGTCTTGCAATCCAGATACCCCACAAGGTGCCCAGAGCCTGCCAGGCGGACTGCAAAGCATCAATAGGGGTGCCAAAAACCATTAAAAAAAAAAAAAGCAGGACTGGAGTGATAGCACAGCAAGTAGGGCATTTGCCTTGCACATGGCCAACCCAGGTTTGATTCCCAGCATCCCACATGGTCCCCGAGCACTGCGAAGAGTAATTCCTGAGTCCAGAGCCAGGAGTAATCCCTGAGCATCGCTGGGTATGACCCCAACAGCAAATAAAACAAAACAAGCCCGAGTACTTTGAAATTTTAGCATCTGAATACCTGGAACTTCATCTAGGGTGCCTAAAGTTATCTTTTCCCAGTGGCCTGTAAACTGGTGAACACTACTGGCCCGGAGGCATGGGGTGACCAGGCCAGTGCAACCCTCATGTGCTCCCTGCTGCACCTGTGGCTCTGCTCAGCCAGGGGCCAGGCTCCTGGTGAAGGGGCGGGGGAAGAGGGGGTCTCTGCTCTGCCGCTGGTGCCCGATGAATACAAGAGGTTCTTCCTGGACACCAAGGAACTGATACAGCACAAGTTTGGGAGATGTTTCCTAATGTCTGGAAGCGACAAATCAGCTCCAGGTGGGCTACAAAATTCTCTGGGGCAGCAATTAACTCTGGAGTGCTCAGGGATGCCAGGGCTGAGGAGACAGAACAGGGCTGCACAGGGTGCCCGGAGCAGTGCCCGGAGTAACCCAGGAGCACTGCCAGGAGTAAGGCCCCAAGCAGACCAAGGGCGGCCCCAAGCCCCAAACCTCCACAGCCTCGTGTTTTTTCCCTAAGTGGTGACACTTACTTAACAGAACTTGTAATGTGTGTAATACAGCTACAACATTTGCACAATTTTTAATGTCCTCTTTACCAGATACTATAAATTAGAAAAAAGGAACTTTTTTTTTTTAGTATACTGTGATATTAAAATTCAGTGTTTCAAATATACATAAAGATGGAAGAAAAAATATTTTCTGTTTGCTCTTGGGCCACACCTGGCGATGCTCAGGGTTGACTCCTGGGTCTGTGCTCAGGGATGACTCCGGGTGGGACTCAGGGGACCAGATGGGGTGACGGGGATCGAACCCAGATTGGCCACGTGTGAGTCCTACTGTTTGTCCTATCACTCCAGCCCTAAAAGAAAGTATTGATGGGGTGAGTATCTACTTCAGAATATAGTTTTTACAGCTACTAGAGTCCTCTGTCTCTTAGAAACAGAAAATTGACACAACACTGAGTAACAAAGTCATCTAAGCACTCAGTTTTCTACTTACTCCATCAGCAAGGTATTTATATACTCATTCCCATCCATATGGCCAAACTGAAGATCCCTGACAACCAGGAGAGAGAGAGAGAGAGAGAGAGAACATTAATACAAAAATGTAAATAACACAAACAGTTGAAAATGGGGATTTGTGAAGCATGCAACCGCTATAAAAATTAAGCATATAAACTACATATAACAGATGTGGAAGAATGTGCAAATTCTACTGGCTTTGAGATATAAATCCACAGCAGAATTCAGCAAATTCTCAGACGATCCTATTTTACACGTTTAAGATGCAAGGAGATTAGTGTGACTTTTCTCACTGAAATATGTTCATGAAAAATTATCCTCATTCTATAAAAGGACCAATCAGAAGATGCCACAGGAAAATATTGACCTGCATATCATGAAATGACTCAAAAATAAAAATGAAATAAAAATAGCAACACAAATAGTCACATATTGGCTGATAAGAGCAAGAATAATTTATCATACAGCTTAACATATATCATACTTCTTAACATTCCACTCTGAGTTCCATTTACAATCATGTCTATTTCTGACCTTCGATAGCTCATTTAAACTCTACCTCAATTGTAAATGCCTATTTTCTGAACAAAAATGTACCAAACATTCTGCCAAGAAGCAGAAATGAGAAATAAAATGTTTCTTTCTCTTTACGTGTACAACTCGTATCCACAAACACATTTCACGTCCACACACTTCATACTGAACCGCAGCAACAAAAGAAGTAGAAAACGTTTGCTTTACCACACAGGAAACACAGTTCCACTAAAATTAAGCGATCTTTTAGACACAAGCACCCACCTGTGGAACTGGCCTCGGAAATTTCCAGCAACTTCCTGAATAATTGACTTCAGTCTGTGGAAAAACCGACAGGACTATTTTCACCTCTTTACTATAAACTATAATCATTCAGTTAAGATCATTCAACTATGTATCAAATACTATAGGAACTACAGTGAGAACTGACATTGTTAGAACTAGATCAAATTTATTTGAAGTTTATAAAGTACCTAATGAGGATGTAACGGAAGCTTAGACTATACCTGGTATGTTCCAGAGATGAATTTTTCTCATCAATAACTGCAATGGCCACAAGCTTTCCTAAAATGAAAAAATGACACATCTAAATCAGAAAAAAAAAACAAAAAAAAAGAAAAACCTCATTATAGAAAACTACAATGCTCTGTGTCACTTTGGATGGGGAATGGGTCAACCATACATTGAGGCTTAATTCCAACCACCTCACACGTTCTATTCATTAGGGTGAATCACGAAACTCCTTCGACCTTCTACCCCTATGTGGAAAATAACAGCAAATATTTCACAGTTTCCAGTTACATGAACATGTTCCTTTCACACACCCCCACAAGGTGGTTTATGTGTTTTGTTCAAACCGAAAACCACAAGGACACCCGCCACGAGGTGGTTTATGTGTTTTGTTCAAACAAAAACCACAAGGAATAAAGGAGATTGACTTCATTGATTCCTGCAGTGCTAAAGGAACAGTTCCCAACAAGAAAACTGTACACAGTTCTTCCCTTCCACACCACTGGGAGCCAGAAACGGTAGCAAAGTCGGAGGACGGCGTCACACCTGCCCCTGACAGCTTAGGGCATCACCAAGAGCGGTTCCTGGGTGCGGCGGGACCCCACTCCCCTCCACCTTTTTCCTTCGGTTGCTCAGAAAGCAGGTCCCAGTCAGCTGCTTGAACTCTGAAGGACTTGGGTAACTGCTCGCTGGCAGAGGTGGGGGTGAGACACTGAGTCCGGGCCACCCCAAACGCCTACACACACACAGAGCATCTTCCCACGGGTCAACGGTCTCTCAGGAACCCCGGCCCATGTGGAGGCAGTGGGGGCGCAGACAGCGAGCCCCAGGGACCCACCCTCCCGGGGACGGGCAGAGGGATCGGGTGGATGGGGACAGGCCGTGTCGAGGGGCCCCGGGTCCAGGAAGGCAGTGCCTGTGGAAGTGAGGTCAGGCTCGGTCCCTCGCTGGGTGGCGGTGGGCCCTGAGCCCAGTGGGCAGGCGCTCGGCAGCCAAGGCGGGCCGGCCGCCCTGGGGACTGGGCCGACGTTCCCACGGTCACCCAAGGCCAGGGAGCCAGCAAGCGCTTCCTCCCGGGCTGCCGCCTCGGGGTCGCCGTTGCCGTGAGCACGGTCATCCCTCTTCCAGTCCCTCGTGTCCCTCCAAGCGGACCGGGAGGCAGCACGGGAACCCGTGGCATGTCCGCGTCCATGGCAGCCCCGAGCGTGGCAGGGAGACAGGCCCGGCACAGACAGCTCTGGGTGAGCGCCACTCCCTGCCGGCCACCCTGGCTTCCCCACGACGGGAAATGAGGCTCGGGTGAATACGTGCTGCAGCGGATTCCTTTATCTTTTCTTCCCTTTGCGCGCGTGCACGCCCATGCATGCCTCTGTGTGTGTGTGTGTGTGTGTGTGTGTGTGTGTGTGTGTGTGTCTGAGCCACACCTGGCAGTGCTCAGGACTTCCTCCATGCTCTGCAGAGTGTGTGTGTGTGTGTGGGGGGGGGGGGGGCGCGGGTCACCCTGGCAGTGCTCAAGGCTTCCTCCAAGCTCTGCGGACTGTGTTTGTGTGTGTGTGTGTGTATGTGTGTCTGGGCCACACCTGACAGTGCTCAAGGCTTCCCCCAGGCTCTGCAGAGTGTTAAGTGTGTGTGTGTCTGGATCACCCTGGCACCCTGGCAGTGCTCAAGGCTTCCTCCAGGCTCTGCAGAGTGTGTATAGTGTGTGTATGTGTGTGTGTGTCTGGGTCACCCTGGAAGTGCTCAGGGCTTCCTCCAGGCTCTGCAGAGTGTGTGTAGTGTGTGTGTGTGTGTGTGTGGGCCACACCTGACAGTGCTCAAGGCTTCCCCCAGGCTCTGCAGAGTGTTTAGTGTGTGTGTGTCTGGATCACCCTGGCACCCTGGCAGTGCTCAAGGCTTCCTCCAGGCTCTGCAGAGTGTGTATAGTGTGTGTGTGTGTGTGTGTGTGTGTGTGTCTGGGTCACCCTGGAAGTGCTCAGGGCTTCCTCCAGGCTCTGCAGAGTGTGTGTAGTGTGTGTGTGTGTGTCTGGGCCACACCTGACAGTGCTCAAGGCTTCCTCCAGGCTCTGCAGAGTGTGTGTAGTGTGTGTGTGTGTGTCTGGGCCACACCTGACAGTGCTCAAGGCTTCCTCCAGGCTCTGCAGAGTGTGTGTAGTGTGTGTGTGTGTGTGGGGGGGGGGGGTCACCCTGACAGTGCTCAAGGATTCCCCCAGGCTCTGCAGTGTGTAGTGTGTGTGTGTGTGTGTGTGTGTGTGTGTCTGGGTCACCCTGGCAGTGCTCAAGGCTTCCTCCAGGCTCTGCGGAATGTGTGTGTGTGTCTGTGTATTTGGGCCACACCCGGCAGCTCTCAAGACTTCCACCAGTTCTGCAGTGTGTGTGTGTGTGTGTGTGTATGCCACACCCTGCAGTGCTTGGGGCTTCCTCCAGCTCTGTATCAGGGAATCTCCCCTGGCGGCACTCCGGGGCCCACACAGGGCTCCAAGGGCCAAACCTGGGTGAGCCACTCAGGAGGCGAACGCGCTCCCTGCCAGGCTGTCTCCGCGGCCCCCTCTCCCATCCTCTTCATCCAAAACGATCGTTTTCTCTTTAACAGGCAGCTGTGCGTGGAAACAAACGTGGCAAGGACTACATTGATTTAACCCTCACTCGTACTATAAATTCAGGAAAACAACTCAGGTCTTCTGGCAAGCCTCATAGTTACCATTTGCACCCATATAATACCTTTAAAAAAATGCTGATCCACAGGGGTTATTCCTGGCTCTGCACTCAGGAAATACTCCTGGCGGTGCTTGGGGGATCATCTGGGATGCTGGGAATCGAACCCGGGTCGGCCACTTGCAGGGCAAATGCCCTGCCCACTGTGCTATAGCTCCAGCTCCCCAAAAATGCTTTCATCTCTGCATCCCCATCGATACTTCTCTGCCAGCCATTCTCAGCCCTGCCCGGCCAGAGACCAGGCGGCGTTTCTCCCTTCTGAGGAGAAGCAGGACTTGGCAGAGCCCCTCCTGCGGTGAGCACCTTCGTTCTCCCTCCCCAGCTCACGTGCCAGGCTGCTTTCCCTGCCAGTTCTCTTTTCCCTACCACACTCAACCCTCCACAGCTCTTCTTTGATAGCCATTACCCAGGGAGTTCTCTAGCGAGAGGAACTGACATTCTCACAGAGCAGAATTGGCCTTTAGGTCGAAAGAAGAAACAAACCCTCGAAACAGATTTCCTAGAGAAGGAGACTTCAGTGCTCGGGGAAGGGAAACACGCGGAGTGGGGCAGTTTCCAAGCACGTTACCAGTGTCTCCGAGCTCGTACAAGACGAACCCATCCATGGCGATGTAGTTCTGGAAACGCTCCCTGTTGATCCACGCCGAGAGATCGCCGTCTTCGTACTCTGGGAAGCAAAGTGGGGGGATCTGAGTGTCACTGTGACTCTGGGCGGCTATAACGCTCTCATCATCATGTACCATGTACAAAATTTCATTCGGAGGATCTCTTCTAAGCCGCCACCACCACCAAGGGATCAATACACATGGAATTCCTTACTGCATGATTGAAACAATAGAAGACCGATAACTAACGTTCAAGGGGTGATAATTTAAACAACCACAGTACAGACTGAGGGAGTACATTTAAAGATCGGAAAGAATCACAATAATAAAGTATAATTATATGGTAAGGCAGATTCTTAAGATGGTATCTTATGACTCTTGTAAAAAAAAACAAAGCATGAAAAGATAAACCGAATGAAAAATGACAGCACCGACCGCTACAAAATGGTTATCGTGGGTAGAATTACTTGAGTGATGGCATCTGGAGCGCATTTTTATTTTGATGTCTCTGCTTATCTATGTTTTATGACATTTCTACCTCAATTTGCAACCTTTTCTCTGGTCGGCAGAGGCGGCCGCCCGGCCAATTCTGGCCACAGCGTGCCTATGTGTGTCCAGCAGTCACGTGCTTGCAGTTTCCCCTAATTCTTTCTTTGCTTTTTGGGTCACACCCGGAGATGCACAGGGGTTACTCCTGGCTCTGCACTCAGGAATGACTCCTGGCGGTGCTCAGGGGACCGCATGGGATGCTGGGAATCGAACCCGGCTCGGCCGTGTGCAAGGCAAAATGACCTATCTGCTGTGCTATTGCGCCAGCCCCTTGAATTCTTTCTTTCCTTTGGTTTCTGGGCCACACTTGGCTGCGTTCAGGCACTACTCATGGCTCAGTGCTCACTGCTAGTGGGCTCCAGAGCCCACCTGGGATACTAGGGGTCAAACCCAGGTTGGTCATGTGCAAGGCAAGTGCCCTTTGCGCTGTGCCATCTCTCTGGCTCTGTCTTCCTTGAATTTTAAAGCACCTTTTGTTAACCCCCGACTCCGCCAGACTGTCCTGGATGGTGCCACAGAGCACAGGGTATGGGTTATGGCGGAAGGCGTTCAATCGCACCTAGGAGTCATCAATCACTCCCATTATTCGAAAAGTATGTGCACATGTTCATTTTTAAAGAGTTGCCCGATGAATCTCAGTGATGAAACGTTACTGGATTTGCTGAGAACACTTCAAGAAAACCCTGTCTTAGCAAACGTGGGGAGATCTGAGTCACTTTGTAACTGGGGTGACAGGTGTGGGCAGTTTCATTGTCTTGCCTGTCTCTTCCCGTGATGGATGTTCGATGGAATAAAAGTGTTTTAAAGCCGGAACAAGTGCTTGTTTCCCGGCCTGTGGACGAGCAAAGGAACTGGGGGCAGGGATACAACCTCAGCATTTCAGCATGGCCAAATACGTCTTATTTCTCCAACCTTTTTTGGTGCTGAAATGTCAGATACCTTTTAAAAAAAATTCTGAATATCTTAAAATCACACATAGAAACTGCACAGGGCTCATTTCTCAAAGACGCAAATAAGTGACAAACAGTTAATAAGTCAGCAAAGCTCCGACTGGCACATCAGCCAGTAAGGACACGCTTACTGCGCGGAACCCACAGGCTGCCGGGGCCCGCACAGAGCCTGCATGGACATGGTGCCCACAACCCCCGGCCAATGGCAGGCACCCCAGGACTCACCATCGTACACAAAGTAGCTGCCGTCCTTGAAAACCAGCACGGCGGGGATCTCTTTCAGCTTCACATACTGTAAGTCAGAAGTTACAACACCTTTGGTCATTCCTGAGGTTTCTCTCTCACATACACACACACACACACCCCAATCTGAGGTTTTTCACACACACATACAAACACCAGCATTCCAATCTGAGGTATTTCTCTCTCTCTCTCTCTCTCTCTCTCTCTCTCTCTCTCTCTCTCTCTCTCTCACACACACACACACACACACACACACACACACACACACACAGTTTTCCAATCTGAGGTTTCATATACGCACGCACGCGCACACACGCGCACGCACACACAAACCCCTCTCCCAACAATGAAAATCTCCAGTTGAAAGGAGGACGGGCAATCCCTGACTCACTCAAGAATTGGCTCCGCCACTGCCTGGTGCCTCTGGCCCAGGGTCCCAGAGGGACAGTCCCCAGTCAGCCCCGAGAGGAAGGGCCAGGCCCTGTGTCCACCGGGGGGCAGGGAGCAGGGGCTGGGGCTACATCCTACACGCGGGGCTCAGAGCCCTAAATAGTGAAACACGTCCCCACAGGGACCTCCCCCAGGGCACCCACAAGGGATCCATCCACAGGGCACCTGCTTCTGGCACCTGCGCTGTGTTTATTTTTAAAACAAGTCGACAGCACCGGCGAGTGTCTGAGAAGATACACAACTTGGGAGACCCACATAAAACTATCGTACGCGTAGAAAAGGAACTAAGTCAGGAGGTAACGAATTAAGACTACTTTCTCTCCTGAGAATCTTGGCGGGCAAGCGCCAATCTAAAACGTTAGTAGATCGCCAAAATTCCGCAGCCAACTATCCGTTCTCAGTCACAGTCCTTCTCCCTCTTTCCCTGTGCTCCTTCCAACTATCTTTCACGACTGTGCCCACACCGCCGTCTTCTCCAGTCCCCTTTAAGTACCCAGGAGTCGGGAAATGTCGACTCAGACAGCTGCATGAACACTATACTATTCGCAAGCAAGATAGATGCCTGGCGGTGCCAAACCGTGAATTTCAAGATACGGGAATGCATACAGTGAGGGGCACTGCCCTTATCTGAGGACTCTCGACTTCTTTGCAGAGCAAAGTCTTGCAACTATGAACCTGGAAGTAAAACGCGGATGACAGAAACGGACACCGCCAGGCCTGACAGCGAGCTTCAGGACACGGGCCGAGAAGGACCGAGTCAGGGCGTGCCCACAGCGTGGCCCGGTGCTCTTGACGGCGGCAGAGGGCAGACGTCCTATAGGCACTGCCCTGGCCCATCAACATGGGAGACGGCCACCGTGACAAGCAGAAGACGCGAGGGGTGGCCAGCAGGAGGCAGGGCCAGGGCCAGGCAAACCCGCAGAAGCCTTCACCGTCCGGGAAGCTTCCGAGGTGTGTGTGGGGAGGGTCCTCAAATGCTCAGAGACTGAGTCCTTCACCACTCAGGACAGCCCAGTCACCAGTGAGCACTGTTCTCTATCCCTACAGATTCCGGCCCCTGCATTCCTGCTCACTCATTCGAGTCAGGGCGGCCACGATGCCCTGCCCCTCAGGGCCCCTGGCCACCCTGCTCCAGCATGCGTGTCCACGGCACCTCCGGCTTCTGTCCCCAGGCTTGCTCCTGAGGCCACCAGCTCAGGCCTTGGGCTTCTGCAGTCGAGGCGGCGGCAAGCTCCACCCCCCCACCCCAGGACTGCTGGTCATCAACGATGAGGACTCAGGACAAGGCAGGTGACCCAAGATGGCAGGGGCGCGGGACACAGGGCACTGCTATTGCTTTAGAGGGCGAGAAGGGCACTGGGGAATGACTAGAACCTGGCAGTCAGGAGCCTCAGGACGCCAGGTTCTGCATCCTCATACCGGAAGTAAAGGGCTGGCATTTCTTTTCCCATACATGGCAAACACTCACAGAAAGTCAGTCTGAAAGACACAATCTAGCCATGAAAAACAAACAAACAAACAAAAAACCCTGAGTCACTTAAAATCCAATGTCAAATGTTACCTCCGGAACCACCTCTTCGAAGGCAGAATAGAAGTACGTGTATATGATTAATTCTGAAGCAACATCGATGTACTTCTCCTGTGAGGACACAAGCAGAAAGAGGTGACTTTTAAGGATCACTGCAGGGGCAGACAAGAGGCTGAAAGGAAGACTAATGCCCAGTTGCCCAGGGCTGAATCGAGCATTATGTGGTCTCCTGAGCACTGGGGGAAGAGTCCCCGACAACCCTTTGGCATGGCCCCAAAAGCACATACAAAACTCATAATACAGCTTCAACTCAACTTCTTCCTACGTATTCAGAGAATACATCACTAAATAGTATACACAAAGTGTGCAAATTTAAATTCTTCTATGGGGGGGAAAAAAAGAAACAGTTTCTAAGGCAAAAGATCATTCATTGTAGGGGCCACTGTAAGGTAGTAAGTACAGCAGGTAGAAACTGCACCTTGCATGAGGCCGAGCCAAGCTTGATTCCCGGCACCTCCTGTGGTCACCGGACGCCCCCAGGAGTGGCTCCTGAACAAGGAGTGTGACCGCTCCCCCCAGGACCACCCCCCAAAAAAAATTATAACCTATCATACTCCTCAAAATAAACTGCTTGAATATAAAACAAGCTCAATTTATGTTATGTGGATTTGGGGGGTGATGCCCGGAGGTGCTCGCAGCTGACTCCTGCAGTGCCAGGGGACCGTGCGGGGCTGGTGCAGAGTCCAAGCCTAAGTCAGAGCACGCACTCAGCCCGCCTGGGTCAGCAGCTTTCCTCTGGCCCAACCCAGAGGTAACTGCATGCCTTTAAGAGGTGCGCATACCTACAGCTACATATTTCAAGGGTCTGCATTCAAACTGCACTTGGCAGTCTCAAAGACACAAAATGCTAAAAAAAAAAAAAAAAAAAAAAAAATTAAGCGTTGAAACGCAGGCAGGTCAATCCAGAAGGTGTGTCCTAAGCAAGGCATGTGCTCCTGTGACCTCAGCCCCAGGAAGGGAAACGTCTGAGGGTTGGCCCAGACTCATGATACAGCTGAAGGACCCCTGGTCGGAAGGAAACCAGCTCTGAGTCTTTGGGGGCATAGTGAACGTCGACTCGTGTGCTTGTGGGTTCAAACAGAAAACCGCTGGGTACCTTCAGCGTTGACTCGCCACCGACGTAAACGAAAAACACCCGGTGTCGGCGCTGCACGTGCTCGAACATCTGCTGGCTGGGAAGGGGCCGGATCAGTGCCCTGTTTGGGGGGAAGAGCAACAACACGCAGGCGAGCGTCAGAGGCCGGGGGCACACGACGGGCCGCGATTCCTGCCACAGCCCGCCAGGTCCAAAGGCAGCTGAGCTTATGGAGATCACTCAGCCCACATCAAACTAAGAAAACCGCAGCTCATGACCCTCCCAAACCCGCATCAACGAATAATACCTGCAATTTATAATCACTTAAAAACTGACTCCAGCTCGAACCCCTTGGGGAGTTCACACCTTCGCCAATATTTTGCTAGGTAAAAACAGAACTGTAACCCTTTAAGAGTCCTCGGGTAAGAGCGAAACAATACACAGGAGAATCACACTTCTCTCCCTTTCAAATGATCATTCAGACAAATACCCAGTGAAATAGCATCCCAGGAGTTCATCAGACTATATTAAGACCATTTAGGTTTTACTCTGTCTTTTAAACGCTACGATGCTTTAACATGCCCTACTGAGGTTGAAATATAAAAGCGGCTTATAACTAAGATGACTTTTTTTTAAAAAAAGAAAGAAAGAAAGAAAATGGAAATGGTAGTACCTAAGAACCCCGTGAAAAGAAAACAGATCTCTAGTTTTATTATTTTTATTATACAACGCATTCTGAGTCACAGTGATGAGTCAAAGGTCATTATAGAACATATCACTTCCAGAATACAATCAGACCAAGTAGCAGTTTTCCTTTAAATGTGGTCTACGGCATATTTCACTCCACCAAAATTGCAAAAAGAACAAAACCCATTTTCCAGGGCACACATTTCAAACTGCACGGTTCCCGGGGTGCCCTGCGTCACGGCTATTTTCATACTTGAGTCATTAACTGGTAAGTGATGCAACTCCACAAGAGATGCCTGAAATTTCATGTGCAACAGAATCAGCCCTAGTTACATCAGGAGAAGCTCTTCCCAGGTTACATGAAACTCGGCTCAGACAAAGACTGCATCAACCACGGAGAGTAAAGGACATCTCACCAGCAAGTCCCTCATATAGTACAGCGGAGAGGGCATTTGCTTTGCATGCAGCTGACCTGGGTTTGATCCCTGGCATCCTATACGATCCCGTGAGCACCGCTAGGAGTAATTCCTGAGTGCAGAGCCAGGAAAAATAACTGAACATGCCCACTGTGACCCAAAAAGCCAAAAAAGAAAAAAAAAAAAAAAGAAAAATGAATGATACATGCAATCAATGGGGAAAAAAGGCAGAAGTTGTATTGTTAAGTTTCAACTTTAATATACAACAACTACTTCTGATTCTGTGCCCTTTTGACATAATTTAAACCAGAGAATATGTTACCTTACTACAATAGAACAGGTGACTCTTTTAAGCCCATGCAGATTAACCTATGTTCCTGAGTGTTTACTGCAAAAAAGTTCCGTATCTTCAATGACATAAAAGGGCACAAAATAATTGTATGAGTTATTTTTTATGCCACAGCAAGATATAGACTTTAAAAAAAAATAAAAAACTTCACCTCTCAAACCAAGAAAAGACACAGAAGAATGTTTCCTTCTCGGGAGAACTTCAGAGATCTCTAACTCTCACAGATCTCTCAGTTCTAATGAAGCCACATGAAGTCTAAGCAAAAACGGAACAGAACAAAAACTTCACAGCTGGCAGGAGGAAATGTGACAGGGAAATGTTTATTAGCTCCAGCTAAAGAGCATTTTCTAGTGCTAGAGGGCAACGTTTAAATTTTTTTTTCAGAACAAAATGATGAGGCTTCTTTTCAAAGTCTAACAGTAGTAAGAAAAGTAAATCGCTTCTGGGGAGGCAGCTCACTGGATGCATGAGACCTGGGTTCAAGCCCTGGCACTGAGGGGAAAAAAGAAAGAAATCTGATGTGAACTGAGCAGTGAAAAAGCAATTATAATTCAGTAAAATATCTAAGATTCAGAAAGAGGTTATAGCAAAAATCCATCAGGAAGAAAGTTTTTTCAATATATGAAAAAAACTGAAATGTGAGGTTAACCGAACAGCAGTGATCAGGATTCCTTCTCTTTCTTTCAAGATCAGCGTTGCTGAGGCCCGTCTTCTCCTATCTCCTCTTAGAAACAAACCTAAATTCCTAAAAATGAAGCCAGTGCAGCCTCATATTCATCTTTAGCAATCACTTCGCACAGTCGAGACTTTTCCCAGTGACAACTTACCCAGACACCCTGTGGGCAAACTCGACGATGTCATCCTTGGTCCGTGGTCCTCGGTAACTATACGCCAAGTCCCCTTTCAGTCTTAAGTGAAAAAAAAAAAAATTACTGAAACTGTTTTTTCTATTTAACGTAAGCGTACTCTACAGTCCCATGAAATTATGGTATATCGGGGACGAGGGCAACAGGCTGGCGGGGAGGGCACATGCCTTGCACACAGCCAACCCGAATTCACTCCCCAGCACCACATACGGTTCCCCAAGTCCACCAGGAGAGATTCCTGAGCACAGAGGCAGGAGTGAACCCTGAACACTGCTGCGGACACCCCCCTCACCAAAAACAACAACAACAAAAAAACAAACCAAACAACAACAACAAAAAACCCCACAGAGTATTAAATAAGGAATGGAGATTAAGTCTTAGAAGCAGCAGCAGAACCACATGAAATACATTGGGTGATTGGCTAAGTCAAAAGGTAAAGAAAAGAAAATTGCCGTATTTTTATTAAGGTGATGCAAAACCTTTTTCCTCTGTAAACCCTGCACTGTGTCCATGCCTCCTGAAGACAAAAATCCCACGCAGACTCATGACCGAGAGCTCACTCCCGCTCTTGATGTTTGCCTGCGTGAGTAGGTGAGCGGGCAGGGAGCTGAAAGGTATTTCTCGAGGCGGCGGCTCGATTTTAAGCAACCCGGCTTCAGAGTGAGCTAACAGACCTCCCAAGATTAAGAGATAAACAACACACAAATGCGCCGCTAACTTTCCAGATTTGGGGATTGGCCAATGATTTAGGCATCCAACTAAAGAAATGAAACACGGCAGTGGCCGGCACAGCGTCCACTTAGCTTTCAGCGTGAATGACCAGGTGAGCTCTCACACTCCCAGCGTCCTCCTAAGCGCCCAAGGGCCTGGCAGAGGCCAAGCACCACCCTTGAAGGCACAGGTGCACAGAGGGCGGGCCAGGCTGGAGCCCACCCAGTTGGCACGTGTGATGGACCCTGAGACCACCTGACAAGGACACCCGTGATTCAGGCGAGGATCCCTAAATGCAACAAAGGCTCAAAGGGCGATTCACTAAAGGCAACAAAGGTTCAAACACCTCAGGATTTTTGTTTTGGTGTCTGGGACACCCCCTGGGGTGCTCAAGGTGGACTCCTGGTGGACTCCAGGAAGCAGAAGGGGTGGCAGGGATGGGGATCCAACCTGGATTGGCCGCATGCAAGGCAAGCACTTGACCTGCACCGTATGATCTCACCGGCTCTGCACTGAACATTTTTATGGCTCGTCTCTTTATTTTGTATTTTGCTTCACGCCTGCCTGGTGGTGCTCAGGGCCCACTCCTGGCTCTGAACTCAAGAGGACCGAATCATTTTTAGTGTGGAAAAGAGGCAGGGCAAAGCCAAGGGAAGGAGGGATTGTTACTCCAATTTTGAAATTAGAGATTTCCTACGAATGAAATAAACTTATGATAATAATGTGCTGAAACCATGAAAAGAATCCAATGAAACTGAGATTACAAAAGTCTTCCATGTGATGACGATACTGGATTCGATCAACATCTATAGACCACCCGATTCTTTATTTCATGTCATAAGTAAGTCAGCTGTGGTCACAGAAAGGAAAATGCTGTCCTGAGACAGAACCCACACAACAAGCCGAACACACTCGGGCCGGCAGGTGAAAGAGCATTTGGACTCCACGACTGGGTCGGCCTGTCCCAGGGCCTGCCCCTCGGTGACCTCCCCGCACACCCCACACAAACACTGCCCACAGGGAAACAGTCAGAGGCACACGACTCTCCCCAGATATACCCGGGCCCTGCAAAGACCTGAGCTTACATCTCCAGTCTCAAGGAGGCTGCTAGCAGCGGAAAGAGAGACTGACAGGTGAGGAGAGCAAACTCGTCAAAATACATGTAAACGCATTCAACTTACAGCTTAATTGTAGGGTAACCCCGCACTCCGAACTCTGAAGCAACACCTTGATAAAAGAAAAGAATTCAGGTTTTAGAAAATAAGAAACCCAAAATAATGAGATATGTATTATATTAATACATACACACACTCTCTCTCTCTCTCTCTTAGACAAGCCTACACAGATAACTATTTTAAATCTAAGAATGAATACTCACAAACCAAAGAAAACCATGATATCCTTATACAAAATATTCAACCTCTAGTCTACTTAGAACACTAAGAAGAAATACCAAAGAATAAAATGGTATTTTTATTTTCTTCCGCATTTAAATTCATTTTCAGGTCAATATAGAACTGCTCTGCATTTTAACTTAAAATACTTGTAAGCAGCATTTATAAAATTATCCAATTTCTGCAATAAACGTAAGATCTATAAGCAACTGTCCACTTGCCTTAGATCCTCGGCTTTTCTGATAACCCAAATCCTGTCTCAAAGATTAAATTCTCTTGTGAGTTAAAATGAGCCACAGCAGATACAACAATGGCATCTTTCTGAAGTGAAGACTAATAACCAAGAGCAACAGAGGATCAGATGTTAAGTGGCAAAGAACTCACTCCGGTAGGTCTGGACTATTTTAGGTTCAAGGCAACAAAAAGAAACAAAATATCCTCCCCCATTATATCATAAGTTATACAATATGTTTACAGTGTAGCATGTTTAGAAATTGAACAACGTTTCCAGGGAAGGACACAGGCATGGTATACCCTGTATTCCAGGCACAGTAATGTTCTTCATTGCAAACATACTCTTACCGTGCTTGAGCAAAAGCAAGATTCTACCACAGAAGGGTTTGCTGGTCACTAATGTTTGGTTTCTCATGATGCGCTACCAACTTACAAACCTAAGACAAAGCGAGTTTGTGGAGAAATCACTGACAATCTCGCCAACACCCCAGGCCGCGCCAGGTCTGGGGGCACCAGCACACACCTGGTGCTGTTTCAGGACCACCTGGAGCCAGGGTCTCGCCGTGCCAGGCAGGGCCCCGTCCCGTCTATTAATAACACGTGTCCAGAGATGGCTGCAGGTTCCCAGGCAGTTTCCAGAAACACAGAGGGGTGCTTTCACCTAGTTCCTCCCATGGGAACTATACAAAACTTCTGTTCAACACCACGGACAAGATACTGGCAGTTACCCTTCCTGACTGCCCGCGTGTGTTTACGCTTCTTTTGGCGGCAACAAAGCGGCAGAAGTAACAAGAACGCGGATATTCTGTCCCTGACAGCCTCGGACTTCGGCCAACGGCAGAACTTATTTGTGCCCATCTCTATCGAATCTGTAATAGCCATGGTCTAAAAAAGCATATACCCTTATTTTAAAAATAATCGATGGCCTACAAAGTAAGTCTGAGATGTCAGAGAATTCACTGTGTTACCGGTGGAAGGCCCGGGACAAACCCAGGTGGGAAGCCGGGGGCTCGGCTTAGTCTTGGCACCTCAACCTTGCGTGCCCACCTGAGCAGCACAAGCAGACGAACCAGCAGGCAGAGAACGGGGGATGCCCACGTTGACTGACACGGCAGCATGGGGTCAAACATCAGGCAGGTGAACGGAACATGGGGCGCAGAGGTTACGAGGGGGGGTCCACTGCCGCCGGTGCTGGGGCTCTGGCCTGCCTGAAAGCCCCAGGCCGCCTTTACTCCCTCACCTCACCTGCCTGGCCTCAGCTGTCACTTCTGCCAGGTGAGGAAGGATTTCACCACCTCTTGGCCTTTGCTCTTCCCTCCTGATCCTGGCCTGTCACCCAGAGATCTGCCGACCCTCTGATGGTCAGATACTGTCAGATCAACTACGACGGGCAGAGTATCCTGAAGCTGCCTGCGTCTCAAAATGATTTTGCAGTGGGAGGGGAGGTCCTTGGGCCGTTTTGCAGATAAAACAGTCAAACTTACAAAGATCTGGGAACCTCCGAGGCAGTACCGAGTAGGAGGGAACAGGGGCAAGGCTTATACCCAAGCCTGAGCTTCGACTTCAAGTGTGTGTTCTCATTCTCCAAGTTCCATCTTTCCCTTGGGGTGGGGGTGGGGGTGGAGGGGTAGGACCACAGCTGGCTGTGCTCGGGGGTCACTGCTGGCAGTGTTCAGGGGACCACCCTGGAGTGAGGGACCAAGCTGGGGTCGGCTGCCTGCTAGACCCTCTCTCCCTGGCCCTTATTTTCTTCTCAGAGAGGAACGGTTTGCGTTAGGATCTAAGACCAACCCTCTCCCTCGGCATCCAAGCCACGTCCTTTCGTAACCAGAGTCACTTCCCGAAATTGCATCCCCTTTCACTTGCGTTCCCTGTGATAAAAGAAGGCGAAGGCGGCAAGGGGCCTGGCCGGGCTCCGGGTGACCGAGGACTCAGGACTAGCTCCTGCTTGCATCAGGTGAAATTACTCAACACCACCGCACTGTGGCCCGCCTCCCGTTTCTCCATCCACACAGTAACATGGGGCAGTGCTGAGAGGCTAAGTCACAGCCTGTCAATGTGACTCAGCTCTGGCCAGGACCCCGGGGAGACAGCAGGGACAGCAGAGAGAGCCGGGGGCGGGCTCCACTGCTTGGAGGCCTTTCACCGGCACAGACCGAGCTCACCTGAACTCCGTGCCCCGTGCTCGGGTCTTTGTGCACCGTGAGTGCTGTCCCATGCCCTGCTCGTTGACCTGCTCTCTCTCACCCACCCCCCCTCCCCCGCACGACCTCTCAGAAGCCGCAAGCTAACGCATCCTCCATCCCCAAGACAGCAGCACCAGTTGAACATGGGGGGTTTGGGGAGCATCTGCCGGCAAACTGCTTCAAGTGAGCTCCGAGGAGGAGAGGTGGAATCTGTGTTCCAGGTAAGGTTAAGGCACTTTCACTAACACTCAGCAGCAAGTTCACTGTGCTCGGACGCCACAGTCTGGCACTGCTCAGGGAACTTAAATTTCACCTACACGAAAGAAATAGGTTATTTCTTCCTGCCACCGTGAACACTACTTTAAGTGAAGGAAGGACTTACTGGAATGGGACGTGGCATCCATCTTCCCGACTTTAACAGGAGACCCAACATTTTTCATCTCAAGACCAACTTCGTTCCAAATTGGTTCCAGTTTTTTACAATGGCCACACCACGGTGCGTAAAACTTGTTAAAAAAAAAAAGGAACAAAAAAAAAAACAAATAAACCACTAAGAAGTGTTTGCTATTACAGACGTGCATCATAATTTCTAAAGAAGCTTTTAAAATGAGCAAATAACCTGTTTTAGGAAAAAAAAAAACCTGAGCTAAAATAAAAAACGAAATGTCAGTGGTCATACAGAAACACACACACACACAGACACACACAGTTGGACAGACCAACTGCAAGCATACAGCTCCCCCATCAGGAGCAATGCTATTGTAGGTCCATTTTAAGTGATCACTGAGAGTTACAGAGAAGTCTGACTGACAATCAGCGTGTCCTTGCTCCAAGCGTATGTCTACATTCTGTGTGAAATATAGCCGTAGACGCACAAGCACGCAGCACATCTCTGAAGAAGGACGACAGCATAAATGTCTCTGTAACTAAACTTCCAGCTCAGTAGGTGTCTGGCCTACTTCAAGGGAGCAGAGTGAGGCGATCGCGGTGAACCGCCTGGTAGCGGATCCGCCTGAAGGCTGCCAGGGGGGGCCGCTGGTAAACCTGAGCGCATCAATCACCGGCCACTCTGCTTGGCCCAGTCACCGGGGGGTCCACTCCATTTGCCCCAGTTCCATGATATAATAAACGACTGTACTGTCATGGAATCAGGCTTACCTCCTTCCTAATATTACAAGTGCTCTTGTGAAAAAAAAAAAAAAACTCCAGACCCATGGTTCATTTTAATATGACATGAGAAACCCGAGAAAACAAAATTAGTAATAACGCATCAGCACTATTACTACATTAGGGCAGAAAAGAATAGAAACGAACACTTAAGAGATTAAAGGTGGATAATTAATGCAAAATACACATACTCACATCTACAAGCCAAATGTCACTTTTCCGACTATCTTTAAACCTATTAAGACAAAAACAGGAAGAAAAAGTCTAATTGTGGTTGTTTCCAATTTACAAGATGTTCATCTCCAATTTAGAATCCACTAGTTTAGTTGACAAGCTGGTAATTACAGGGGGCATGAAACAAAATAAATTTCTATGGAAACGTTTACTCAAGGATTCTACATTTTAAGTCCCTACACACTTTAATTGAAGGAGAACTGAGAGCAACTCATTAAGGATAAACAACAGCTTTAAGAAGTTGGGACAGAGAAGGGGACAGAGGAGAGGCCGGTGGCTAGGGCACAGCCCTGGGTGTGAGCCCCAGCACCAAACACCACCCTGAAACTCCTGCAAGCAGCTCCGGGGCCCCAGGGTGCTCCCTGCATGGGGGTCACCACACACACAGGATGCGGGCAGTGCTGCTCCCTTGAGCCCGGCTGTCTGAATCATGGGAAGCCCAAACCTCACCACAGAGAGACCCCACCCCCAGCCCCCAAAAGCAAAGGGAAGGCCGCAGCAGAGGTGATTCTTTGCTCCTGAGCAAAGCCCACATAAGATGAGCCTGGAGCCGTGCATGGGACTCGCGAGGGCCTAGCGGGCTCTCATGTGCGGTCCCAGCCTGTCCATAAGCATTTGATCATGTGACTTCCGAAGCCTTCCAGGACAGCGGAATGAGCAGAGCAGAAGGTTCGGGGCCCACCTGGAAGTGCTTTAGCCCAGCCCTGGCCCCAAGCTGGTCGCAGGAAGGTGGTGGATGCGGGGAGCCATGTAGAAAGACGCCAAGGTCGTCCTCACACAGGAAGGAACTGACCCCGCCACTCCTGCCCCCGCGGGCACTGGGAAAAGCGTCTCCACTGTCAAGTGCTACTCAAGCTCCAGCTGGAGCCTCCCAAGGCCAGGCACCAACCAGCATCCAGAGCAGCGCCACGCCACAGAGCCTCAGGACCTTGGCCGGGCAGGAAACGGCCTCCCGGTGTGCTCTGGAGGGCACGACGGCGGTGGTGTGGCGGCTGGTACCTGGGCGGGTTCTGTGTTTTGAAAGGTGTCCCCAGATGGTCGGCCCCACGGCACAGGGACTGCTCCAGGCACAGGGGCGAGGAGGAGGGAATGGGGACTCTGCTCAAGGGACAAGGATATGGGCTAAAGGCTTTGCCCACACAGGCCTGGGTTCGAGCCCCAGCACCTAGCGGTCCTCCTGAGCACAGGACCAGGAGCTGTTGACCCACACAGCTAAGTGGGAAGGTGAGCGGGAAAGAGCCTGAAAGGAGTCACAGGTGAGGATGGGTAAGCGTTCCGGTGAGTCGGAGGCTGGAGCATCACACCGCTGGGCACGAGACCCCCAGAGGCCCAAGGGCAACTGTCCCCACCTGCTCAATGAAACCCATCTTGGTGCTGCGTCTCCAGCCCTGCGGGGGACGAAGGACCCTCCACCACCCGCCTTGCCCACTGTGGATCGAGGTTTCGAACTCCCCCAGATCCAGAGAGGACCATGGAGTGACAGGGGCCCGGTCACGGTTACATGCTGTCCCCTCACTGGCCGTCCGGCTGTTCGTGGCTTCAGCAGCAGGACAGGAGATCAAGCTGGTCCCCTGCCCCCCACGTGACTATCTAGAGGGGGCGGTGGCAGGTTTGCTCTGGGCTGCCCAGGGCACTGAGACCAGTCCCTGCTTTCTACACCCCCCCCCCCCCCCGGGTGATGACACAGGCCACACGCCTGCCACAGTGCAGTGGTTCTAAGCTGGGGCGGCAGGCCCACAAGAGGACACAGCTTGCTCAAGAGGCCAGTGCTCGCAGCGCCTGATCTCCCGAGGAGCCCAGGAGCAGCCGCCGTGGGGGACAGTCCCCCCCCACACACACACACCCCACACCTGGCCCTTCAGGACAGTCTAAAGGAAGTGGCCTCCAGGGACAGCCTCCCAGGGGGCCCCTAAGGCCAGCGATGACCCCCCAGGTAAGCAGAGCCACCCCTCTGCAGGCTACCCCCAGCACTGCTGGACCAGAACCTTCCAGCCCTTGGCTTAACTGCCAGCCCTGGCACCGAGGGTAGCACTGCGTGAGCCAGGAGGGCACTTGCTCCGCACCGCCTTCAAGGGCACCGCATCAGATGGAGGCCCAGAGGATCCTGGGCAAGGGAGGGCAGAGGGTTCGAGTTTGAGAGCGACTTCAGGCTGACACTGGCTCCCTGGGGTCCGAGCCTGGATGCCTGTGTGAGGGCCCCAGCAGACGGCCTGGGCGGGAAGGCGGCCAGGCAGGGTGGAGCGAGCGACGGGAGGGCAGGGAACCTCGGTCCTGGGCCTGCCAGGAAAAGCCCCCGATGACCTGATGGGTCAGGCCAGCGATGCCAGTCGCTCTGCTCCGGGCTCCTCACCTGCCCGGCATGCCCAGGTGGACAAGGACCCGCACCGGCGTCCTATGAAACAGGAGTTGCACTGGTTTCCTCCTTCAGCTGCTGGTGAAGGTCTCTAAGGCCCGACGCCAGCATCCCTAGCACTCACCACAACCCCACACAAAGCTGGGTCACCGGGCCTGTCACTAGAACGTCAGTTCCCTGCAGGTGTGCCGATTAAGGTCCCAGCTGAAAGCAGTTGAGAGGGCAGGAAGGAAATGCATATGTATACTCACGAGTCATCTAAATCTTCCACGATTCCTTTACAGAAAGCCATGCCCAGTAAAACAACTGAAAAAGGTGGGGGGGAAACAAAGAGAGAGAGAGAGAAACCATCATGTGTAGCCGACCACGCACGCCCGTGTGTCATTAGGTGCTCAGTGCTTAGTCACCGAGGCAACATCAGGATTATTGTACAATCTGGAGAAAAAAAAGAAAAAAGCCCCCCGCCCCCCCCCCCCCCCACACACCCTCTCCCCCAGGGCACAAGTGATGCAAGAACCAACTGCAGTTCACCTGTTTCAGCAACATCTACCTCCCACCCACCCGAAGAGGCCGGGACTGGCAGGTTGCATGCGGGTGTGGGAGAAAAAAAAAAAAAAAACCCAACAGGGAGACAGGTTCTCTGGCCGCCCAGGCTTCTGTGCTCGGCCCATTTTCCTTTTTTTTTTTTTTTTTACCAGGCCATCTTGGGGGGGGGGGGGGGCGCGCAGAGGCAAAAATAAATAAAATAAAATAAAATAAAAATAAAAATGAAAAGCCTCCTTCTCCGGGTTTCCTCTTTCCTGCCGCAGCAGGGACCCAAGGGTCTACACCCGGTGGGGGGGGGGGGCCCTTTGCAAAGAAGTAGCAGTTCCCCTCCCCAGCGCCCCGCCCTCCGCCGTCACCGATGCAAACAAGTGGATGGCAGCCCCGCTTATGGGTCTTATTTTTATTTATTTATTTATTTATTTATTATTTTTGCAATTTTAGGCATTGAGGCTGCAAGGACCGTGCAAGGATGCGCGCACGGTCACGCACATCGGCGCCCCCCCGCGCCCCCCACCCCCCACCCCCGAGCCTGCGGCGGCGCGTCCCCGGCGCCCCCAGCCCCCCTGCGCGGCAGGTGCGGGGCTACGGCATTCGGGGGGCTGCGCGGGCAGGGCCCCCCGCCCCGCTCTGACCATGAGCTGCCCTTGGCCTTGGCCGTGCGGGCGTCTCGGGGGCGGCGGCTGCGGCCGCGCGGGGCGGGGCGGGGACCCCCGGGGGACAGTCACAGCGGCCGAGCCCCCCTCCCGCGCCCCCCGGGGGCATCCCCGCGCGGCCTTTTTACCTGCGGCGCAGAGTCGCAGGGCGGATGCCATGGTCGCCGCAGCAGCAGCCCGAGCCGACGCGGCCGAGGGCGCACACGGGACCCGGCAGCGCCGCCTCCGCGCCCGGAAAGGGAAGCGCGGCCCGGGGCGCGGACGGGCGGCGGCGGCGGCGGCGGCGTCTTTTCTGCGCAGGCGCGCGCGGTGCTAGAGCGGTGGGAGGGGGGGTGGGGACGGACCGGGCTCTCCGCAGCGGCCCGGCCGCGTCCGTTCTGCGCAGGCGCGCGCCGTGGGGCAAGAGGAGGGGGGCGGGCCCGGCTCCCGCCGCGGCGCGGCCGCGTCCCGCCTGCGCAGGCGCGCTCAGGGTTGGGTGAAGCGGGGGCGGGCCTGGTTCCCGCAGCGGCTCGTCCTCGTCCTGTCTACGCAGGCGCGCTCGCGGGGCGGGGGGGGGGAAGGGGGGGGGAGAGCGCAGACGCATGCGCAGTCGGCGTGGCGTGGCGCGGCTCGGGGAAGGGCGGCCGAAGGCGCAGGCGCAGGCGCGGGCGCAGTGGGCGTGGCCTGGTCTGGCTGCGGGCCGGCAGCGCTGAGCGTGGGAATCCCGGGTCCCGGGAGCCTGGGAAAGGGGACGGGGCACCCGAACGCGGCTTGTCCTGGCCTGCAGGCAGCCCTGCGGCTTGGCCGCCGTGCAGGGAGCGAGCCCGGCCGTGCCAAGGAGCGGCTGTGGGCAGTGGGGAGCTGCTTCTGCAAAACCCACTGGGGCTCTCTTGAAATTTGGGAGCACTGGGAAGTCCGCGCGCCCCACCCCCCCCAACTGCAGGAAGGGAGGGATGCTATTAGAAATAAGCCCTGTGGGGCACACCTTGAAAAGGCTTTGGCCCACGAAAAGAAAGGGGCTTCATCATCTAGGGGTTATGAGCGCCCGCCCCCGCCCATCTGCAGCAGTGACCCCTGAGCTGTGGCACAAAACGGGAAAAAATAGGAAAGAGATTATAGGATATTCAGGGGGATAAATGATTCTGCGTTTTCTGATGATTTTTACTAGAATATTCTAAGGTGCATTGTTAACTCTGCCCCAGAGGGATAGAACAGCGGGTGGGGACCTTGCTTTGCATGCAGTCCGCTCGGTTCTGTCCCCCAAAGCCCCTTACGGGTCACTCAAGCCCAACCAGCAGTGAACCCTGAGTGTAGAACCAGTTGGAAAATCCTGAATCCTGCTAAGTGTGGCCCCAACCAACCTTCGTTACCTCTTATCTTCTAAGAAACAAAATGATTTTTTAAAGCAACAAGGGGACTGGAAAGATAATACAGTGGGAAGGGCAAGACCTTGCTTGGAGCCAGTCAGGTTCGATCCTCATTCCCCCACACGGTCCCCTGCGAATCCTGCCAAGAGTCACCTCTGAGCACTGTCCTGTGTCACTGTCACTGTCCTACTATTGTTCATTGATTTGCTCATGCGGGCACCAGTAACGTCTCACAAGTTGTGAGGCTTGTTGTTACTGGTTTTGGCATATTGAATACGTCACAGGTAGCTTGTCCTGTGTGGCCCCCCACATAAATAAAAACAATATAGTTTTAAACCTAGTTCCTCTTCAGTCATCTGCCTTTAATGAAATGTATACCCACGAATAAATAGGATTTTTTCATAATACAATAATCGAACACTTATGAGAATAAAAACGGATTAGCACAAGTGAAGGGCGACAGTGTTCAAGCAATATCATTTGGTCAAACTCTCCACTTACTCAGCTATTCAATATTGGGACCACCAGCCACATACAGCAGTTGGGTTGAGGCAGTATCTCATTTAAATTTCTTATATTTCAACTGAAATTAAATAAACAATTGACCACACCTGATAATGCTCAGGACTTCCTCCTGACTTTGTGCTCAGGGATCATTCGTGGCAGGGTTTTGGGACCACATGGAGTGCTGGGGGTGGCCCACCTATGCCTAGGTAGGGCATATTCTAGGCAAGCACCATACCCTCTGCACTATCACTCGAGCCCTCAACTTAAATTTCAAATCTAATATTTGATTCGGATAATGGAAAAATGTTTAAGTATGCCTAGAAAACCCAGGTTGTATTAACTTGGTTATATTTCAAGGAGATGAAATCTGGATACTGAAAAACATATAATCTGAGATAATAGACACAATAAATGGTAAGTATTCATTAGATTTTGAATATATGTAAGACAATATAGTAATTTTGCCGGCCCCCGCGCCTGACTGTCCTCACCGCCGGGGCCCCTTGGAGGGGAGCGGGTTGAGCTTTCCTCCCCGCCCCGACCAGGGCTCCGGCAGCCAAAGACCTCCAGGACCAGCCACCACCATGCTGAGACCACTCTCCGCACACATGAAGGTACTGGCAGAGGGACAAAGTCACGCGGGTTCCGGGGCCGAGATCTCCAAGCCTACTCGGATTTGGGCTGAGCATCCTCCACCCAGATCCTCCAAATTCCAGTAGGTGGGGGTCACACCCACCAACTGGCCCCCTGGTGCCGTGTAATCCCATCAGCGGCCAAGACTGAGAGACTATAAAAACTAGGTCGCGGCCGCGCGACGTCCTATTATGACATCTTATTATCTCATTCCTACTTTGGACAAACTGGCAGGCTACCGAATGTAGCCTGCCCACACGGCAGAGTCTGGCAAACTCCCCGTGGCATACCCAATATGCCAAATACCAGTAACAATGATGGGTCTCATTCTCCTAAAGAGCCTTGAATATAATCTCAGGGCTAGGATGAAGGAGACGTTACTGGGGCCTGCTCAAGGCAATCGACGAATAACAGGATGATTTGTGATTTTGTGAATATAGTAATTTTATATTACGTTTTAAATAAAATTGTTACAAGTTAATAATAAAATATATTACTAGAATCAACATTTCCTATTTGATTTATTATTCAATGTGACTTCAGAAATCTACAATTGAGATATAACTTTACATACATAATTTACACATTATTACATACATAATACCACCAGTTTAGACCATCTAAAAGTGGTAAAAATAAATCAATGATTCCAAAGTAATTATAGCAAACTTTTAATTGTGGTTTTACTAAATACAAGCTAAGTTTTCCTATGCTTATACTCGAGTCTGGTTCACAGGACAATACAGGATATATTTTTAATGAAAAAGTGATGTACTGTCTGCTGTCTCCTTACAAGGTAATGGATTCTCCTGAGATGTGGAAGGTCGTGTGTTATATGCCATAAGTGCTGGCAGCCTGACCACCCTCCAGGATCCAAGTTTCTAGAACAGTGAGTAGTTGGTGGGCGTCAGTCACCTCCCTACTTTGTAATAGAGCCTATGCTGGCTTATTGGGGGTGGGGGGGTTCTTTTCCTGGAGGTTGGGCTGCATCTGGCAACTCCCAGGGCTCTTTCGGTCTCTGGATGTTGGAATTACTCCCAGAGGTGCTCAGGGCTCAGTAAAATGTGCAGTGCCGGGGTCTCCTGGCTGAGACTCTGTATCCAGTGGCTGAAGTCCTTGCTGCTGCTCCTGTCCAAGGGTGCTCAGCCCTGGGAACTGTCTTTCCAGCCAGGAATTCTGAAATCCTGTGAAAGTGTCAGTTGTCTGCCTTCACCAGACTCAAGTCTTTGCCCAAAGTGGAAAAAAATCATGATCCATGGTGACCTTTGGGGTTCTGGATCAGCAAATGATCGGCTGTTGCTAGTGTCATTTATTTCTTTTACAGTTGCTGACGATCACTGGGCCTAAATGATGGGATTCTGCTAAAAGCTGAAATTGTGAATAAAGTGATGCTCCATTTGCCCTGCTTCTTGGGAAGTGAGTCTTGGCAGAAGGTGAGCTCACAGTGCTGCCTTTTACCTCTGTTTCCTCTCTCCTTCCAAACGTGTGAGTGCCACCCACATACAGGTTCTACGTGTATTCTTGACTGGACTCTGAGTGTTCATTGGCTGATGACCCTACTGCCAATCCTGCCCAAAGGTGAAAGAACAGGAACAAAAACACTGGGATGGTTTGGTGCTCCTACTTAACATCCCTCAGTTTATTTATCTATCAATCTTTATTTATTTTAATTTAATTTATTTATTGGGCTGGAGCCATAGCACAGCAGGTAGGACGTTTGCCTTGCACGTGGCCAACCCGGGTTTGAAACCTCCGTTCCTCTCGGCAAGCTACCAAGAGTATCCCGCCTGCAAGGCAGAGCCTGGCAAGCTACCTGTGGCATATTCAATATGCCAAACACAGTAACAACAAGTCTGGAGACGTTACTGGTGCCCGCTCCAAATCAATGAACGATGGGAGGACAGTGAAACAGTGCTACAGTGCTAATTTGAGATACACAGTGACAGTGTTGTTCATGATTGCATTTCAGTCATACAATATCCCAAACCCATCTCTTCACCAGTGTGCATTTCCCACCACCATTGTCCCCAGTTTCCTTCCCTACTCCTCAAGCCCCTCCCCCCACCTGCCTCTGTGGCACGCACTTTCTTCCTCTGTCTCTGTCTCTGTCTCTGTCTCTGTCTTTCTGTCCATCTGTCTGTCTGTCTGTCCGTTTCTCCTTTTGGGCATTAGGGTCTGCGATACAGATGCTGAAAGGTTCTATATATCCCTGTATCCCTTCTATCCCTTTATCATGTATATCCCTACTCTCAACACTCAGTTCTGGTCCAACACTCCTCAGTTTAAGGCCAAGTCACCAACCTGTGTGGCAGGACTGTGCTAGGGTGATCATGCTTGTCACCCAGCGTTTGGCTTGGCTGTGTGGCCAGGCACAGACAGAAGCATCTAGTCTGTTTGCTGCTCTGAGCAGCCTCACCCACTGGCCTCTGTCTGCTTGAAATATGCCCCTTGTTTATGGCTGCATCAAGCTTCAGAAGATTGGGAAATACAAGATACATTATTAGGATCAATAAGTCATATCAGATTTACCATGGGTAAAAAGTAGAAGAGTTTCCTTGAATATAAGGAGTCAAATGGGAAATTTCTTATTACATTTAATAACTATTTCATATTTTTGGTCATTCCATTAGCAATTTATTGATAATATAAAATAAAGTATTATATGCAATATAAAATTAATAATTGTGGGCCTGTTATGAGGCAGGTTTGAGAGGTGATTGGGAATATTGGAGACCGTGGTGGAGAGAAAGTGACAGTGGTAATGGGATTGGTGTATGAGTATTGAATGCCTATGACAAACCATCATCAACTAGT